AGAGAGAGAGAGAGAGAGAGAGAGAGAGAGAGAGAGAGAGAGAGAGAGAGAGAGAGAGAGCTTGGTGACATTGGATCCAGACTCGACATGGGACTTCAAATGTTTTGAAAAGGGATTATTTGGGACTTGTAACGAGACTTGGTGTTGACGACTTTCCCATCTTCCCCTTCCTCTTCTTCGTCTGATCCCTTCCTCTTGGTCTGTGTATGTCTGGACCTGGCGCCTCTTTTCTATGTATAGCGCCAGGCCCCTTCACACTTTGTGATGAGCATGATGTATGTTTGGTCTGCATTGAAACATCAATTGGGTTAGTCATGAGTACTCTCGCATTCTGCTTCGCTATCTTGTGCTACGTGAAAGAGGTCAGTCCCGGTCAGGTCAGGACTTGTATCTAAGTCTTCCACTGCGCTATAAAAGCACCGTTTTGTATGTATCGGAATGCACATTGCTTGTTGAGATTCTACTTGCACTGCATTGTCCATTCAGTCCTTTTTATCACATTGCGGATCCTCGGTTATTATGTACATCGCCCAACTGGGCATGTAACACTCGGCCTGCATGTAGAGGAAGAGGAAGGGTGGCCATGGCTATGGTGGACCTCATGTTGTGCCTGCTGTAGAAGTGAGATTCGGACATTGATTCTGGTTCAGCCATTCAACATTATTATTGTTATTTCTTGTTTGAATAAGAGTGGAGGAGATAAGGAGGAAGAGATTGGTTGGTGAAGAAGAAGAGCCTTGTTATTGGCCTATGCTGGAGTACATCATCTTCTTCTTCTTTCTTACTTCTTCTTCTTCTTCTTTCCCTCTCTCTCCTCTCAAGTTCATTCAGTTCTTTTTGGAATTGGACGGCATTGTACATTCTGATGAATGCATACTTCGAAATTGGCCAGGATCGTAACATATGTATCAGGATGTACACTGCTTGTTGAGATTCTACTAGCACTGCATTGTCCATTCAGTCCTTTTTATCACATTGCGGATCCTTGGTTATATGTGTACATTGCCCAACTGGGCATGTAACACACACACACACACACACACACACACACACACACACACACACACACACACACACACACACACACACAGAGAGAGAGAGAGAGAGAGGGGACACTTACTTCGGGACGCTGCAGAGAGGTCGGGGCACGAGTCACGACAAGCGGCAGCGAGGTCGGACACGAGGCGCGGTAGAGAGGTCGACGACGACTTCGAGGCAGGGCACGGCGGGCGGCAGCAACGTCGAGCGCGAGGAGCGTGACTAACCACGGGCGAAGTTGAGCACGTCAGGCACACTTCGAGGGGGGAAAGGCAGCCTCCACCCACTTTCGAATTCGAACACGAACCGCGGGCGCGAAAGGAGGCAGGAGGGAGAAGGCCCTTCTTGGAGACTGGGATGAGTCGCCAAGAAGGGCCGTGTCCCCCCTTTCACCGCTTTCGAATTCAAACACGAACCGCGGGCGCGAAAGGAGGCAAGAGGGAGAACACCCTTCTTGGAGACTGGGATGAGTCGCCAAGAAGGGTCGTGTCCCCCCTTTCAAAAAAAAAAAAAAAAAAAAAAAAAAACAAGGCCTATACTGTCTATACGTCTGCGGGGTGTGTGGGGAGGCTGCCTGCTCCCGCCAAGGCCCTCCCAACCCCCCCACGCGAAAATGTGCTAGGCCCGTCCGGCGTTCAACCGGGGGACCAAACCGGCTGGGCAGCCCGGCACCCCCCCTGGACGAAGGCCAGGCCGCCGGGCAGCCTGGATTTTAACACAGGGAATTATAGCAAGACATATCGACGAGCACCATCGTCAAGTGAATTGAAGTTCTTTCAGTAATACTCGCCTTGTATGCGTTGCGTTTCTGCCTCTAATGTTGAATTTTCGCTGATCTTCTCTTGGTGACTTGAGCTGCCGGATGTCCTTGTTTCAGATGTAAGTCATTCAGGTAAGCCATGCATGTGATTGTAGATAGGAAAGTTGACTTCTAAGCAATCTGCGGTCAAAGTAGTTGTGCAGACATGAGCGGCAGGCGCAGGACAAGTCGACAGGTCAACCACTAGAACCCCACTCAAATTACACAACCATTAGATTTCTTAAATCCCCACCACAGACAGGGATTGCCAACAGGATCCCGCGAGTTTGCACTGATGTATGAAAGAGAGATGAGAAAAGTCACAGAGAACATTAGACACGCTGATGAAAAGATGGTAGGGCAGGCTAACAAGCGTAGGAAGTCATCGCAGTTTGCTGCTGGTGACTCAGTCTAGGAAAAGAATATGGAGTTCCTACCAGAAGATGACATCTCTCAGAAATAGATACGGGCCTTGTGAAGTGCTAGATGTAGTGGGTGGAGCTGATGGTCCCTCTTGCATTCTTGATGTGCCTCCATGTTTACGGACCCATCCTGTTTTCCATGCTTCTAAGTTTACTGCCCTGTGTAACAAGTAACTCGTGTCCCTCACCCACATCCATGATTGTTCCTGAAATGGACGGTAGCTATGACATAGGTCGTTCATTGATTAGGAGACCTGCAGAACAGGAAAGAGAAGATGGCCACATTAGCAGTACAAATGTAGATTTCACTACCAAGAATCCGAAGATGACCTATGGTTCACAACGAGCGAACCAGCTGAGACTGCCCACAGAACAGTGGCATGCTATGAGCAAGCTAGAAGGGGTATTCGAATCTCATATTAGAGGTAAAGTAGAATTTTCTCAGAGGACATCAAAGTTGGGCCGGCAGGAGTGAAAGGATTTCACAGTATCAGACCTTGTCCTACTTCCAGTCACACTTCCACTCCCAGTTCTAGTCCCAGTTCCAATCCCAGTTCCGGTCCCAGAGTGTCAATCCCATGTACCATAATCTAGTGTCACATGTAAGTCCATACCAGGTAGGTTCTGTAGGATGTGGAAGCCAGTTCCCAGCATGGTGCTGTACAGGTCGGGTCCAGTCAGCAGCCAAGTCCCGAGTCAGTCGGGGAATTCCCAAATGTCAGAGGTCGCTCAGGGCCCTCGCAAGCCAGGGTTCAGTGCCCGGAAGTCCAAGGCTCAGGGAACTGAATCGTCCCATGCAAAAGTCCATTCACAGCTGGCGTCATCATCAATCCCATTCATGATGGGAGCACTATTGAGACTGTGTGCGACCCCAAAGTCCAGGGACGCTGCATGTAGTTAGTCGACAGCGTCTAGCACCATAGTTGAGCAGAGAGCATAAGGTTTGTGGAAGACATCTAGAGAGCGAGCACGACCTGAGAGCGTGTTATGGTTGTTGGTGGGTTGCAGCCATAGCCACCAGACTCGTATAAGACATTTGCATAAGATTTGAATTTCAGACTACTCTCAAGGCCCTCGTGTCACGACTTGGCTTTCATTTTGTGTGAGTCCGGAGTTCATCATTGTGAAGTATGCGCTTGGGATTATGGGATCATTACACAGCAATGAAAGACGAGAAAATAATATGCAAAAAAACACTTCCAGTCTTCCAGATGTATAATAAGTGGTGGGGCAATCAAGAAAAACCGACTGCTAGAGAAACCACAAAGATAGATTGGGAGTGGATGGGAGAGAGAAGGTCAGAAGAAAGGAAAAGAGGGACATACTGGGAGAAGGACAGCCAGCAAGAAGGGTGGTTGGAGAAATGCACACACAGGTATGGAGACAGATGAACAACCAGATGCATGAAGTGAACTGTAAAGCAACAGAGGTATGAAGCACTATGAACAGATGGACAGCAAGAAAGTTAGATTGCAAGGCGAAGGAGCAAAGAGATGAACCGAGTGACAAATGGACAAAACAACAAAATGGACAGATGTACGGGCCCACAAAAAGATGTGCCATGCAGACAGAATGTCCAAGCTAAACATACTCATATAACAGAATTTGGTCAAAGAACACAGGAAAACGGCATGAAACAAGAAGAATTGTTAGATGCAAATGACAGAACAAAGAACTTGTGTGTCCTCACATGTGCCCCTCGACTGAGGCGCCATACATAGCAAGTCCCTTTATTGTTGGCTGCAACTGCCAAGCTTCCATCCCACATCACTGTCAACGACCGTATTGCTGTGTCCACCTCCGGTACCTGCAATACAGATGAACCCTATCAGCTCGGCAGCCTCACGAGTGCAAGTAATAGCAAGGAATTAGATCACAACACATGACCAACCAGCACAGAACTACTGTAATGAACCCAGTCTGGAGGAAAATCCTCGAGTGTCGAAATACAAGATAACTCAGCGCTGATAAATGTCTCCAATAATCATGACATGTGTTACATACTTCAATGAGTATGGGCAGAACCAAAGATCAACCAATATAGGATGAGCATTTATGCAGCGGAAGTCTGATAACGAACTGACTCAC